CCCCCCCCCCTCCCCGCCGTGTCAGGGCCCGCGGCCGCGCGGGCGGAGGTGCGGCACAAGGGGCCCTTTGTTGCGGGACGCAGCTCAAAGGCCCATTGTTCAGCCGCTCCCCTGGATTACGGGGTCCCGGCAGGGGCAGGGGCTGGGCCGGTGCCAGGGGCTGCTCCGTGCCGCCGCGGCCTGGGGGGGCCAGGCCCCTGCGATCCCCTGTCTGGGTCCTTTGTTCCCCCGTCGGGCTGCGCTCGCTGCCCCCTCGCAGCCCAGCCAGCCCCAGACCCCATCTCCGCTGCAAGGCCTGGGGGCGCCAGCGAAGCCTGCACCTGCCCCGGGGCAAAGCCCCGTGGCCCCCCGTTTGCTCCTCGGCAGCCCTAGGAGGAGGGCAAGGCTGCAGCCCCCGGGACCAGGCGGGACCCAGACCTGCAGCCCCCTCGGAGCCAAGCCCGGTCTCCGGAGCCTGGTCCCAGGTCGCGTGCAGGGTTTGTGCGGGGGGCGCACGGGGCTGATCCTGCCTCCAGCCCCGGGGCTCGCCAATGCTGGAGCAATGTTGCTGCAAGGGGCCGTGGGGGCCCAGGCCGTGCCCGTGCTGGCGAGGGGTGTCGGGGCTGCAGGGGCTTCGCTCCTCTGCGCCCGCCCTGCCGCCCCGTTCCTGGGCTTCGAACAGAAGCAACTTGTTGCCTGGGCCGGACGATTGCCCTTTCTTGGGGCATCTCCTGTTGCCCGCCCGGGCTTGTCTTGGAGCCAAGGGGCAGGACCTGCGATGTCTGCCCCCTCCTGCAGGGCAAGGCCCAGGCCCCCGGCCCCCGTCTCGACCCCAGGGCTCTCTGGCCCCTTTCCGCTGCTGCCCTGATGATGTTGGGGGTGGGGGTGGGCAGCACCCACCCCCAAGCTGCCCTCCTGCCCCTCCATGCACTCAGCTCTTGGGGCTCCCGGCACGGGGCTGGCCCCAGGACCCTCTGGGCACCCCTTGTGCCCGTCGTGCTGGAGCCAGGCTCAGGGCAGGGGGTCTCCGGCTGCTCCCGGCCCCTGCCGGCAGGTGCAGCGACGGGGTCGTCTGCTCATTGCAGGGATGTCCTCCCCCCGCCGCGGCGCCGCTGGCAAAACAAGGGGCCTTTGCAACCCGCCGGGCTGGGCCCTCAATGGGCTTTTGTTCCCCTTGCTCCACGCTCTGCGATCAAAGCCCCGGCGGGCGGCGCCAGGGGTCGGGTTCCCGGGGTCTCGGCTTCGGGGAGTTTCTTGGCGGGGAGGCAGTGGTGGGCCTCCACGGGGTCTGAGCCGCGGGGGGCGCCAGCGCTGGAGCTGCCCCCCGAGCCCGGGCTGGCAGCGCCGAGACACCGCGGGCCGCTGCAGGAAGGCGGGGGGCCGGCCCCGCGGTC